GTGTTCAGGGTTTAGGTGTTTAGGGTTTAGGTTTAGGGTTTGGGGTTTCGGTATTTGGGGTAACGCAGGATTTTTGTCTATCAGCAGGAGGTAAGATTTAGTTTGTCTCTCATAGGGTGTTTCCGGGATGTGATGTTAATTTTGTATGGCTTTCTGAAATTGCAGTTTACCGCCAGCAAGTTTTAAGGACACCCCTAATTAGCCCGAGACACCTGCAACATGAGCTGTCTCTCGGGGCCTCAGCCACCACAAACATCTAGACAGTAGAACCCCGAATGTGGGATCCTATACTGCAAAAAGGTACCTAAAGCCCTAAACCCTAAACCCTAAACTTTAGTAGGAGCCTCCTTAAGGAATCTACTTCTTTGTATCGTCCCGGAGACCCTCTACGAATAACAAGGCTCGCAGGTTTTTTTTTTTTTGGGGGGGGGTGGAGGCGAGTTGCCGAAGTACTTCCCCAGCACGCCTTCGCTCAAGCGCTTGGAGCAGAACTGTCCTGTCCGGGGCCCCGGACACTTTCGGGGGTTTAGGGGCTAGGGTTTAGGGTTTAGAGGTTTAGGATTTAGGGTTTAGGGCTTAGGGCTTTCAAGGTTCAGAGTCTAGGGTTTTTAGTGCGTCTTCCCGCCGCACATTTCCCGTGGAGCGGCTTTCCTTGCGCGCTCCTAAGCCTAAACCCTGAACCCTAAACCCCTAAACCCTAAACCCTAAGCTCCTAAACCCTAAACCCTAAACCCTACCCCTATACACCTAAACCCCTAAACCCTAAACCCCTAAACCCCTAAGCCCTAAACCCCTGGAGTCCCCCACTGGCTCCCGGCTGAAGGGGCCTCGTCTGGTTCTGCTTAACGGGGAGATAAGGTTTAGGGTTTAGGGTTTTAGGGCTTTAGGGTTTAGGGTTTAGGGTTTAGGGTTCAGGGTTTAGGGTTTAGGGGTTTTGGGTTTTGAGTTTACGGTTTTAGGGCTTTTTGGCGGACAGACTAGCCAGATGTGCGCGCTCAATACTCATGCTACGGTTGGAGGAAAAAAGCCTCTTACAGGGCTTCCTCTCATCGACTCAAAAGGTCGAAAAGGACCTCAGAGGATCTGGTCTCCTGCCGGTTTTTTCTTGTTTCGTCCGCGACGCAATTCCCATCAATGGTGCCTTTGTTTATCTCGACCCAGGCACTAGATGCGCCTTAGCTGCAACCAGCCGTGCTTACGCTGCTTGCCTCGAGCTTACCACGCATCCCTCCGACTACGTCGACACGTTGGCTCGAGCACCTTTGCCACAAATGCGTGGTGGTGGTGGCAATGACTTAGGTGCGCACTTGTCTACAGTGATGCCCCAGGTCGCTCCAGAGGCGCTTCGGCCCGAGGTTGTGGGCATGCTCAAGCAGATGTTGTCTAACGCTATCTGCGTCAACACAACCCTTTGTCAGGCAGAGAAGAGGGTCGTCGAAGCCGTGTGTTCTGAGAGCGGCATTAGCGTAACCTTTCGTGCATGTGAGTCGCAGACCGGCGGCCACCTCGCGCTTGTGGCATTGCGGGAGATTCATCGTCAGCATTTGATGAAGACCCTAACTCAACTGAACGCCTCCTGTTTGTTTGTCGGTTCTTCCGCCTTCGAGCTCAAGGTCATGGGGTTCTTACAGTTGGGCCAATTTCCATTACTCGGAGAGGGATGCACGTGATGGTAGTAGGAATGCTATCAACATGATCAAGCGGGTCGGCCGTGCTGTCCTCAAGAAGGCCAAGACCAATCCGCAGCTTAAGCACCAGGTTATGCAACCTGGCCCGGGCATCCCAAAAGCAGCTCGGAGCAGAGATGCTTGGTGCCATACAGGCTGCAGAGGGCTTGCCTTCCCGTTTCTTCGTCGGAGACGCGCACAAGGCTGGGAAGTTTACGGTTCTCGTGTTCGCTGATTCCGTTTACAACTTCAACAGCTACCGTCTCGCGGAATTGTTTATGCACACTGAGGCCACGATAGCAGGTGGCTACGGCGTGTTCCCGAAGGACTTAGTGTTTGGGCCGGGTTCGAAGCTATATGGCTACGACTATGTCGAGTTCGAGGCAGTCGGTGACGACTTCTCCGCGCCGAGACATGAGCTCGTCAAGTGCTCAAGTGGGCTAGCATGAGCATGCGTGCCGAACCCGGGTATATGCATGTCAAGGAGGCTTGGTCGACGATACTCAAGAAACAGATAATCACGCATGTGATTGATGGCACGCAGGTCGTCCTCCAGTGCGAGATTGTCGTCGAAACCGGTTGCATGCTGTCCTTCACCATTTCTAGGGTTGCTGTGCAAGACATTCGCGTTGTTCGCAACATATCCTTACTCCCTTGTGAAAGGTACGTCCGTGTCCTTGACCTGCGCAGGCTCTGGAATCGTCGTACCCAGAGCTCTTCCGGGGAGAGAGTGTACGTCAACATAGCTTACACGGTCTACGAGACCTGCTATTTGTACCTCAGCTCTTTGGCGACAGGGTCGAAGAATTTTGTCCATTTGCAGAACTACATGAGGAAGGCTAAGGGTGGGATTTCCCTCGTCAGCAAAGAGCTTGTCGCCCCATGGAACCTCGCTGACGATCATCACGAGCCTTTGGCCTTAGCTGTGTACATTCGTGTTATGCAGGATGTCTGGCAGCATGAAGAGATCATTGACGCGCTTGCGGGCTCACGCCCCAAATCTTTTCTCGCTAGCCTCAAAGAGTATGCTGGCGTGAAGGTAGGTAGCGTCAGGGAGTGGTTTGCGAACCTTTCCATTGTCAGGTCGATTGTTGAGCATTTTACGACGGAGGGCATCATTCGAGGTCTCGTCGTGGTCCCACTTCACGAACGCCGTCAGCTTGAGATGTTTCATCCCGAGGGCGTTTGCGGGACAGTCGCACGAGAGATCGCCGCTCAGGCACAAGGCACCAACGGGCTCTCCAAGCTCGCGAGGAGTGTCCTTGCTCGTACTGTGGCCGCACGCATTGGCACCGAGCACGGCGTGGTGACGGCGTGTCTATCAAGGTTCCCAGGCCGACGGCCCTGTCTCGCAAGACTTCACCCCTGGCGTCCAGCTTGAATTTGGCGAGCCTTTTGAAGCTGGCGAGAATTATTGTCCCAAGTGCGCGATGATGCAGGAGCTTGGCGGTGAGCAGCGTTTTGAATGCCGCCACCTTAATCGACCAGCCGTTTACACTCTAGCACTGAGCTCAGACGAAGTTCAGCACACCTGTGCGGCTTGGCAGGGTCAAGGTGGTTGCTACACCGATGAGTGCAACACCCCTGAAGCGCTACGAAAGACTTTGAACGAGGCTGCCGCGAGGCTGCCCCGTGACGGTTGTACTGTTAGTTTGGAGATTGAGCTATGGAATGCTGGTCCTGGCACTGGCAAGTCTTATATGATCAAGCAGATGTATCGCCAGGACCGGGACGTAGTCGTAGCGCCCTTCAGAGCTCTGAACGCGACCTATCCGGCTCCTCATTTTCGATATTTCACCACACACAGGGCGCTGTCACACATAGTGGGCAACTTCGACGTGCTTTATGTGGATGAATTCACCTGCTTTGATTTTAGAGTAGTCATAGCCGTGGCTTTCAATCATGGTGTGAGCAAGATTGTGCTAGTCGGAGATCCGAAACAGAACGTCATTCGTCCGGAACATGGTTGGTATGCTGATGGTCACATTTTATCACGAGAGACCGAGGCAAATGTGCCACTTCTGGAAATGCCGGGTGCACTATTCAAGATTTGTTTTCGGTGTCCCGGTGTGGTGACGTCATGAGGCTCAACGCACTGGGCTACCAGATGATCCCTTATTGGAAGACTCCTAGCGGCACGAAGGTCATCACAGGTGATCCTGGTGACACCTGGGATGGCACGCTCCCGGGCGGAGACGATTGTCTTCGTATCGCCTTTACGCATGAGGACGCTGAGCGGTTCTGCATGAACCGCAAGCACACAGTTGCCTCCATGCAGGGCGTTACCACTGAGCACGTTGCTTTGTTCTTTACCGCTGGGGCCTTTGCGCTGGTTAAGAGTGTCTTCAACCAGAACCACGTGGCGCTGTCGAGACACACAAAGACGCTAACTGTTATTGGAGACGGGTCCAGTGATTTCCACAAGTGGGCTTCGATGCTCAAGCTTACTGAGACCTTCGCCATCGTTGTTGACACTTGCATTGAAGCTCCTCAAGGTCCAGTCGCGGTTCCAGTGCCTGACCCCGACTTTCTCAAGTTGATCGAGCCTCCTGCACAGGAGATCTTGCAACCCGGTTCCGACTCCCATCTAACTACTGACCTCATCAAGGATGGCGGAACTGAAGACCCCACATTTTCCTGCCCACAGGACCTCGCACCCTTTGGTATAAAGGGCAATTTTGACCCGTTCAGTCATGCTTCGCTCAATGTTCAGAACTACCAGAGCATGATCAACAAAAGGGGTCACCCTGTCGACTTCAACAGGGAATTCTATCGCAGGAACCCATGTGCTCATGCCAATACTGTCACTGAGACGCCTGCGAATGCCTTGTTGTCGCTCAATGCTCGTTATGCTGGCGTGCCGAGAGCCACTGGTGCCGAGGCTGCGTGTCTTGACGCGCTTCGAGATCCCACGACGAGGGATGATGCGCCTGCACAGCCTGATGAGGACAAGTTGGCCAGAGCCGAGCCATTGTACGCCAATTTTCTGAGCGCCATTTCAAGGACACTCTCAACACATCAGCCTTTTCTGAGAACAACTTCACGCTCATCCGTGCGAACATTACTCGGGCGGCGATTCAAAAGGGGTATGCATTACGCTTGGAGGCTGCAGACACTGACCGCCACCAGCGGGATGTGGTTTTCTCGTCCAAGTCACATGTCAAGGCTAAAAGCCCCTGGCAATTCAACGGCCTAAAGGCCGCACAAGGGATCAGCGCGTGGTCACCTTCTATGATGGTCTCAGTGATGGTGGCGACCCGAGCAATGAGTCAGCATTTCGTGCGGAATTGCAAGCCGCACGTTGTCTTTGATTTGGAGAAACCCACGGATGTCTTTCTGGCAGAGGTTGAGGAGCTTCTGCAGAACACTCCGGGTTATGAGGACATAGTCACCGATCAGGAAGAGTTCGATGCGAACCAGAATGTCTGGACCCAAAAGGTAGAGCGCCTCTTTTGGGAGCATCTTCGTATTCCCGTTGAGATTTTGGAAAGGCACGGAGAGGCACTCCTGAGAGGGACTGGGTTTTAGGGCTTAGGGTTTAGGGCTTAGGGATTAGGGTTTAGGGCCCCGGGCTGACCGGGTGGGATAGGGCCCGAGGGTCTTTGGGTTTGGGGCTTATAGGGTTTTAGGATGTTAGGGTTTAGGGCTTGCGCATAAGGGATTTGTGGTTGGGAACGGCCCTATCCTGGCTGTTGAATGTTGGAAGCATCCGCCCTGAACCCGAAACCCAAAACCCTAAACCCCACAACCCTAAACCCTAAACCCAAAACCCTAAAACCCCACAACCCTAAACCTCAAAGGGAAAGGGGGGAATTCTCGGATCAGGGGTCTTTGCGGCGACAACCTGTAATGTAGACCGTCTAGACCCCTCTTTACTACATCCCCTCCCCTTTCTAGGGTCTAACAGTAGGTACCCGAGTTTTCGGGGCCTCAAACACAGGGGTTGTCTTATGAAGTAATGTAGGAACCTGATTAAGAAACCCTGGCCCCAGAACCCCGCTAGATTAGGGTTCATGCAAAGAACCCCAATAAAGGCCCAGGGTTTCTTAATCAGGTTCCTACAGCAGAAGTTGAAAAATCGACAGCCGCAGCCGGTCTTCAAGAGCAGACCGGAGTGCTTACGGTTTAGGGTTTTAGGGTTTAGGGTTTTAGGGTTTTAGGGCTTGGGGTTTTAGGGTTTAGGGCTTAGGGTTTTAGAGTTTTAGGGTTTTAGGGCTTAGGGTTTAGGGTTTAGGGACTCCTGACTTATGGCGTATGGGCTTTTTGGGAGCCCACAGCGCTCCAGGCCATGCTCCTCATACGCAAACGCATCCCAACTTCTTGAACTTTAAACCTTCTATGGAGGCTTCCGAAAATAGGAGACCCTAATATAGTACCCTAAATAGGTAGGGTCCTTATTTTGAGGACCCCAAAATATGGTACCCCTTATTTTGGGAAACTCCTAACATTCCAAACCTTAACACCCCCTTCCCAAAAACACACAGACTATATCTTAATACATTAACCCAGCGGTTCGCACTGGGGTTGATGTGTATTTAGACCCGCATGGCTGGATTGTTGCACGACTTGCCAAAGATCCGACAACAATGTACTTTCAAAGCCCTAAGCCCTAAACCGTAAACTCCTAAACCCCAAAGCCTTGAACCCTAAACCCTTGAACCCTAAACCCTTAAAGGAACCCTAAACCCTAAACCAGGTACTTTTAGGATCAGGGGACTTAGTATCTAGAGTTCCCTCACAGGAGTTCCTTAAAGGGCTCTGCAAGGGATCTCTAGGATTTAAGGCCTTTAGGATTTAGGGTTTAGGGTTTAGGTCTAAGGATTTAAGGCTTAAAGGGTCATGGGAGTTAGTAACTAGGGTTTTGAGCATGGTAACTATACCTATCTATCTACTTCAAACCCAAGTTGACGTATTTATAATTCTGTTTACAACGCCCCGAGATCCGACAACATGTAGGTTTTCTTGCAAGCTTCCTTAAAGGTTTCCTTTGAGGGTTCCTTTAAGTGTTTGATTAGGGAGTTCGGCCCCTCGAGGGTAATGATGGTTGTTTCTTTATGGCGTGTCACGTCTCTGTAAGGTTCCATAAGGTTTTTTTGTAGTGTTTTCAGTTTTGGATTTCGAGTGTGAGGGTTTTGAATTTAGGTCCTAGTGCCCAGTGTCACGAGCTTTGTAGTGCCCCGAGAGACCCAGAGCGAAGCTCCAGCACGAGAAAAGCTGACCATTGCCTTACGCTCGGTTGATGCAGTGCTTCAATTTGACGACTTTCTACACCTTGGGAATTATGGTGCCGTTGTTGTTGAGACCCTAAAACCCTAAACTCTAAACCCGTAACCCTTCTGGTCCATCGGCAGTCTGTTTACGGATCGGCTAGCTCGGGGTTTAAGGGTACTGGGGCTTACTGCACCAACATGTCGCAACTTCTGGCTTAAGCGATTGCGTAGTGGTGTTTCGGAGTTTCTCGCTGGTCAAACGACGGCCTGTGCATGATTTTGCGACTATTTGTTTCGACAACCCACCTACTGAGTCCCTTGACTTGATCCTCGAAACGACGACGTATGAACCTCAGGCTCCGAGCTAGAATCCGGAAGCTGATATCCCAGACTCCAGAGATCCAAGCAACGGAACAGTCTCGAATCTTGCGCCAAATCCGCGAAGGGCAAAGCCTTGCGCTTCAAGGGTGACTGCTCAAACTTAACACTTTCGGTTTCAAGGGTCTGGGTTTGGGGTGTTCGACGTGATTTCTTCGTAGAAGAGTGTAAGATTAGGGATTCGGAATCAGTGCCTACCGGGAGGATCACGCGACTCAGTAACTATCATAGATTGAGCTTTCGGGTGCGGAGTCTAAGCTAGGGTTGAGGGTTCAAAAAAGGGGCTTAGGTTGATTTCGTGGTCGAAGGCTTTGCATTAACAGCTTGATTCAAAAACGGTGGGTTTGCAACGTTTATCGAAAAACGTGTTTTACAAGACCTACAACCCCAAAAACCCCCAAGTGCGATGTATTCGGGGGGCCATCAGCTCAATCGCTGCTCTTCGGATCCTTTGTCTGCAGACTCCAATATCTCTTAGTCAAGACTTCTTGTCGAAGGTTTTTGCAAACTGTCCGGATCCAAAACACTAAAACCCTCGCTGTAAGCCCTCCCTAGACCCTTAACTAACCGTCAAACCTAGTTTTTATTGCTTAGACCCTAGGCCCTAAGCCTTAATTAATCCTTAAACCCAGAGCTCTAATGATCCCTAAACCCTAAACCCCAAACCCTAAACTCTAAACCCCAAACCCTAAACCCTAAACCCCAAACCCTGAACCTAAACTAATTTGAATCCGGTTCTCCTGGTCAGACTTCCCACCCTCGAAACCAGGAATACCAAGCGCTGGATCGTGGTTTGGTGCTGAGTCTCATGGCGTCTCTTGTCTCGTACGTGGGAACTTCAAGATCCTCGAAAGGTGCAATGAAACTGCTGATGATATAAATCCTGCATTACCTTAAGGACCCTAAACTATGGGAATTATGGTATATTTCTTTATTATGGGTAATGCAGGATTTATATCATCAACCGAATCTAGGAACCTGATTAAGAAAACCCTGGCCCCATAACCATCAAAATCGTGGGATTCGCAAAAAACATAGAACCGTAGAAAAGGCCGAGAGTTTCTTAATCAGGTTCCCAAATGAGGCTGGACGTGTCTTATGTTTAGCCAACTACCTTCATCGCCCCTAAACCCTAAAAGGCCCTAAACCCCAACCCTAGACCCTAAACC